ATAATAATGGTGATGATAATAATAATAATGGTAATGATAATAATAATAATAATAATAATGGTAATGATAATAGTAATAATGGCAATGATGATAATAATAATAATGGTAATGATGATATTAATAATGGTAATGATAATAATAATAATAATGGTAATGATAATAATAATAATAATGGTAATGATAATAGTAATAAAGTAGAAAAAACCACTCTCCCTTGAATTCTCTTTGCTTTAAACAGTGCTAGCATACTACGTCATTAAAAAAAAACAAAAAGTTAGTTAGAAGTTTGAAAAAACATATAGATTAGCAAAAAACACGCCATAATGTAACATCTGGAGTCTGTCAGCTATGGCATACGAAACAGCCACATTTCTCTCGAAAATGTAGTCTAGTTCGATGTCATCGTCGTCCATGCCAAAGGGCCGCATGAGATCTTGCCCTACCTAAAGAAGTAACTAAGATATGATAATCTACTAAAAATCTCAGGTTTTAACACTGACAATGAATTAATCAGCGCTATAGTAATCAAAAAAATAAAACGCTTTCTTCAGAATCAGTTTTTTGTTTTTAAGGTTTTAAATTAATATTACAAATAACTTGATAAAAAAATTTTTTTTAAGAGATAGCTTTTTTCAGACCCTTTTCCCTTCTCAAAAAATAATAAACGAAATGGAAATTTGGAAACCTTAAACCATCCAACATAAAATAAGAATTGAACAATCGTGAAGAAGGGTACATAATAATCGGCTTTGTACCTAGGATAACCCTTTGCCGGGTCCAAATACTGTCTGCCTAACAGCGAAAATGCAAAAAGAGAATAAGTTGCTAGCGTAGTCACCTTAATAATTCAAGATTAATTCATCAAAGAAAATAATTCTAAACAGTTCAGAATTCTTTGTGAATGACTATTTTTTATCTAATTTACCCTTAAAAGCCGCTGAAAAGATAGAGTGATTTTCAAACTGCAAAAGAATAAGAATATCAAAAATAATATTAGAAAAATAAGAGCTGCAAATGTGAAGACTACCTAATCAAAAAAATAAGATATCATTTTGAACCTAAAATATGCAACCTATTTTGTAATAAGCGACACTTATTAGAGAACTTTAAAAGCTCTAATAAAACCTGTTAGTTTAAAATTAATTGTCTGTCAGATTTATTTGTCAAATTGGTAACCTCAACAAATTTTCAAACGCATTAGCAGACAGGCTTACTTTGTTGCAAAAGCACCATTAATAGCTGCTTATCATCTCAAAAAATTAATACAATGTTTGAAACATTTGAAAATCTATACATTTTGTTTGCTCCAAATACATCAACCCTAATATCCAAAACTTACTTGTGTGTATACCAAAGGAACACAAACCCAGTCGTAACAAAACAGCCTTCTTATGCTATTACGATAACTTTTTAATTCACCCATAAAACTATTTACTAAGGCAACTTGCGGTTTATTTTCCTCCAATTCATCCAATACAATTTGCTGTATCCAATGAAGTGGAGTTAACCATCGAACATTTTTGACATCATCCTGAAAAAAACTGCATTGAACAAGGGCCACAACAGCTTCATCTAAAATTTGTGCACTAACTGGAATGATAGAGCAAGAACAGAAAAAGAAGGATAAATCCATAGTAGTATTTGGTTAGAAAAAGTAACAAAAGTAGCCACCAATCTTAAAGGGAAAATAAAAGTTATCGAAAATGGCGTTTTACTAATAAAAAGCTATTCAAAAATTTAATAACGTCCGAAAACAAAAAGTCTTATAAAATGTAAGTTAAAAAAAAAGAAGAAAACAATTAACACTAATAGAATTCAACATCTCTAGTTCAGGTTTCGTCAACAATTCACATTCAAGCAAATGCTCAGTGGTCGGAAAACGACGGCGAAGCTTCGTAGAAATGTCACGCCTGGAAAATACCTTCGCTTTGTTAACTCCAAAAATTTAAATTGAGAACCAAAAACTTACCAAGCCAGTGCTGAGGTAAGGTTCAAATATCGAGCAACAGCGTGTCTTCTGTGTCGACTTTTCTCATCTTTTCCAGGAATAATTGAACTTAAAAGTGAAAGTGCATCTTCAGGCCACGGGAGACATTCAAACTGTCTCCACCATCTGCAATTACGTGTTTTTAGTCAGAGTTTATCATAACAGTGAAAGTTTTAAAGAAAAATAATACGAGCTTTACAAGCGAGCTTCAAAGAGTTTGATTAAAAAATTTGTTTCAGCGGCGAAAAACACAACAGAGCTCAAATAACAAGAGAAGTATTTTTGAACGTATCAGTATATGTAGTACATAGTTCTAAAGCATGAGCATCTGTATTAAGCCAAGTAATATAGCATATTAACTGAATGTCTTTCCTTCTACCATAGCTTGTTCATCAGAATTAGACACTCATTTCCGCAATTAGTCCGACTGTTTCGTTTGGTCAGTTGCGTTGACCTAACGAAGATTAGAAATTCAGGGTCAGAGCTGCCGTTTTATTAACGCTTTGGCGTCGCAAGTCAAGTTTTTTTGCTCATATACATTTTCAATTTTCACGTGTCTAACATAACATCGCCTAGTTTTTATTTTAAGAAAAGTTGTACATACCTCCAATGGTTTTAAAAAAATTATTTTGAAGCCTTGCTCTTTACATCGCTTTCATGCAGCATATGCTAAATGACTACACGCAGCGATAAAGAGAGGCTTAAACCCCGCACCTAACAACTGGGTTTCAACTGTACCTATTTTAAAAAAAATCATTATTCTTGCCAATAGCTGCACTAAAAATCTCTTGTTATTGAACTGGTAGAATATTCTGAATAAGGCCAGTTATATTATTACTTTTCAACTACCCCGCACAAATTACACTGTTCTTTCAAATCTTTTGTGCTTAGTAAAATCCATTACCTATAACTACCTTTTTTCCCTCTGCACTCTAGCAGCTTCTGCACATCAATCTGAAGCTGTTGAACTGAACCGTAGAAGTTACAGTCTCACCTATTGGCAGCTAAAGCAAGCGCCAACCAAAGCTTCTAAATTGTTCTTGTTGTAGCGGCTTTTATAAAAAAAATCTTCAGAAGATTTTTAAAAATTTGAATCAGAAAAAACCTGTGAACGACATTAGATACGTAAAAGCCAAGTACAAAAGTTAATGGTATTTGTTTAGTATATTCTTCACAGGTTATCGCCAATTTTTCGAAATCTATCCTGAAAAGAAAAACGAGCAGTAGTCGGTTAAACTAAAAAAGTTTTTACACTCAATTAGAACCAAAAGTATTCCATAAAAGTCACAATCAATAACAATTTCATTCTGACTGCCGTAAAAATTTTTTTACACCTAATAATGGTGAAATTATATGACAGTCAGTAACAAATAGTTAATGCCACTATGTAATATCATTAGTTGAATTCTCAAATGCAAAACGAACTATTGTTAGAAATATATAAGAATTTACCGATATTCCTCACCGTTGGGGAATAATGGCAGTACATAATAATATACTACTCTAACCATGTAGTACAAAAAAAGATAAATTAGAAGTTCCTTCCAGGTTAATCGCCAAATGCTGCCTTTCCATCTAGTCAAAAGACCGAAAAAATTACCACTATAGGAAATAGTCATCTATAAAATTGAGACATTTTTACTGTAACCATCAACGAAGTTGACATTTACGACAAAATTGTTCAATAAATTTACCGTCGCATCAACAGCACCCTGGCAACTGTAGACAACCTCGAGATATACCAGAAAATTGCTCTTAAGTACTGAAAAAAGGGCATATGACTCTTTTTATAGGACTCTTCTTATAAAAAGCACACTAACATTGTCTTTAACATTATGGAACGTTTCTTATTAAATAGACAATAAGTTGTTCTCCCTCTGCTCTCAAAAAATCAGCCTATTCACTTATCTGTTACCCTAAGATTCTTTTGCAAGTGAAGCAGTTAGTGCATTGTAAATTTTTGGAAAATAGAATAACACTATTATAATAACTCGTTCTGTTCGTTAGCTGCATAACAATTATCAAAAAAATAAAGTTACGCTATTTTTATAAAAGTCATAAAATTGTTATGAAAAGTTTTCTACTAGACAGAAAAGTAAATGAAGAGACCAAGAGCAAAAAAAATTAGATCTCTCAATCAACCCAAACAGAATGCGCGTATTTCTATAGAATTTTGAGCAGACAATTCATACAAATATGAACTTTTACTGACACAGCATTGCCTGATCGAAACAGCAAATTGGCTAGGTTTAAAAAAAAAAACTACGTTGCTTAACCAAAACTAAAAAAAAAAAGACGAATAAAAGAAGTTAATATGTATACACATATGCATGCTTTTATAATTTAGAATTTACTAGACGAATAAAAAAGTATTGAAGTGCTAATGTATATCAAAAAACTGCAAAAATTTCTGTACTGTTGTCAAGCATACAATTGCGTCATAGTGTATAATGCGCAGTAAAGACAGCAATGTTTGAACAGTTCTAAAACACCACATCGCACAGCTAAAACTCGAAAGAGAAGGTCGGAAACAAAAAACAACTTCACAATCTGCAAAAATTCCACTCAAATTAGCAGTAAATTAATAAAGTTAACTGAATTTCTTCGTTGTTGACGGCACTTTTAAAAACTCTTTTTATCACCTCACATAAATGTTTCGTAAATAGTAGAAAAACTTTGTGTAACTTCAGTCTAAAGAGTTCATTCAATACTGTTTAACGTGCTGAACAATACTAAATAACCTGTTTTTCAATTCACAACAATAAAACTGATTTTTAAGATAACAATAAAATTAACCAAAAACTACTTTTAATAACAACACCTTCTTTTATCCATTTGTGATACATCCAGCAAAAATCCTTCATATTAAACCTTCAGTCTTGAATACTTCTTAAACAGCTACACGTTCTGATTTTGTCAGTGCTATACTACTGATTATTTCTGTTTGATCCTACTATGTATAAATTTACGAGTGGGAAAACTTCAAGTTATCTCTGGTCTCCAATCTACAAATTTTGTACGTAAATCACTTCAAAAGTTGACACTAAAGGTATCCTATTATACAACGAAACTCCTAAAGAAAACAACAAATAAATAAGAAATCTGAAAATACTGTACAAATTTTTTTTTTGGCAGCTTTTCAGTTTATTAATGAAATTTTGGCCTTACCCAACCATCGCCACTCATCTTCAAATTCGTCACATTCTGCTTACAAAAGCCATTAAGTTCGCAAAAAAAGAAGCAAAAAAGGAGAGAAATTTATGGCATTATGAAATGCACTCGATTTTCCACAGTGTCAAAAAAATGATTTGAAAAGACGACCTGAATTTTCCTCTACAAGTATTGGTAAGTCATCAAAATGATTCACATTTACGTGTACGTTTTTTCGATTAGTTTTCAAAAGGCTGCAGTTCACGCTAGTAAAAGTTGAAATTTTCAACAAACTCGATTTTATCTTTTTTTTTCATCCACACCAGTTAAAATCTTTATTTCCAGTAATTCTTGATTTTTTTTCCTCTGATCATAAAATCAAGCTGTTTGAACAGAGTGCTCACATGTTCTCCTTGAAGAAAGCAGTAGATGCGAATCATAAACTGGTAAACGGAAAAGGGGAAACTACAAAGTAACATTTGCTTTTCTTCATAGCTTTTTGTTTAATTAAAATTTCCAAATAAGAAAGTTGTGTTAAAACATCTTACGACTGCAAACACAGACGTACACAGTCTTTTAGTGATTTTTCCCATCCACCTGTCGTCGTTTATTGGAATTCTAGAAGCAGGCTTAACGAGCCTGAATTGGGCAAACAAACTCTAAAAAACCCAGAATAACTTTGAGATTTTCTTCTAAGTATTCCTCTTTCTTGACAAACCATACCGTACTACTTTTACTTGGTTATCGCCTTTCAAAACCAACAGCGTAAGGACTACACAGGCTACAGTGCAAGCCTTCAATTTTTCTATTTTAAACATTCCTTCGTTACAGCACCTCAGCATTTAAACGAATTATCATTCAAGAGTATTGGTCATAACATCTATCAATATATCCCTGATCCTCTCGTCAATTTGAACCAGAAAGCCATTCAAACTCCAATAAACTCTGAGTTTGTTCTAAAATCTCCTCGATGTAATACAATGTTCGCTTTTTTAAATAGTAGCAAAATGTAAAACAATTACTTAGCAGAAAACGTTTTCGAAGTAAACATCTTTGTAATGATCTTTTGGCATCGTTTGCTTTGAACGTACATGGGCAAGAAGGAAGGGTTGTGAGTATCATAAAAGAGAACTGAAAATCGCCAGAAGAAGAAAAGCGAAAAAAAGTTTTGGCGTATTAGGCGCAGGACAGAGTTGAGAGACCAAGGATGACCTCACACGTCATAAGCTTTCATACAGAAAACTTTATCAAAAAAAATTTAAATTTTTATTGGAAAAATAATATCAAGGAGCAGTAATAAATTACTAATTTCATAATTTCCACCAAAATTACAGAAGTTTTTTTGCAAAACAGACGTGCTATATTGTGAACTAGATAAAGTGGAAATGTAAAAGTGTAATTATTTACTAAAGTAATGCAAAAAAAAAAGGATTTAAAGTTTCCATAAGGGTAGGTACGATAAAAAGTATTTGTTGGCTGGGCAAAATAAAGGGCAGAACGATAATTCTGGAAAGGCGGATAGCTATATGGAGAAAAGTGCAAAAAAGAAGAGTTAAAAAACTAGTGAACTTTAACTGAAGACAGTTTGATCTCGATAAATTATTGGGTGCTTTCGGAAAATTATATACATTCAAAGATAAAAATAACCTTTAAAAAAAAGAAAGAGTGAAAAAAAGCGAAAACAAAAATTGAGATTTTAAACGGTGCACACAAGCACGTTTTAATTAAGCGCTGCATAGCGTAATAAAGAACTTTTCATGTATACTTATATGAAGAAGTCCCATTTTTTCTGTTGGTTGTTACTACTAAGCGGATTATGAACAATGGCGACACAGAAGCACAAAATGCCTGCTTGTCAGCTTTTAAAGGTAATATTTCAGGCTTAGCCCAAAAATCACTCTACCAAAACACGATACACATTAATCGCAGAAAAAGCATCTGAGGCAACCAGCAGGAAGGCGTAAAACGTGGGTGGCAATTTTTGGTTTGTGTGGTAATTTTAAGTCATGTAGATTATTTAGATATTAGAAAACAATTTTGCACGAAGATTAAACAATAACCAAAACAATGCTGAAAACCGATACTACCTCTGCGATCACAGTAGACGATGGTTAGATTGCAACGAAATTTTGCTGATTGCGTATGTGGTCTCACTTCACTGTACTAAGTGCGTATTTGGTTACATTATTTGGTCCCAAAAAAGAAGTTATGACACTCCTTTGATAATTTATTTCGCTGCTTTTTAATTATTCTTCTTCTACTTGTTCCTCTCTTTTTATCCGGATTCGAGCTACAGCTAACTTTCCGTTAATACTTATAGATTTCAAAATAATTATTAGCCAGTGACAGCTCCAGTTGTTGTTCCTTTCATTCTTTGTTCTAACGCTTTGGCACCGCTGTGACTCATCGTTCCTTACACTGTCTGCATTTGAAAAAAGTGGCGAAAAACGTCAGAAACGCAGCAGTTTTTATAAAGAGTTTTGCCGTGAAGCAAAGCCAAGGAAGCTATGAACAGTGTAAATATACAGGACAGTAAAATTTATACCAAAGAAAAGAAAGTTGAAAGGAAGGGATAACTCAGCAATGTGCGAATAAAAAAGCCATTGGCTTTATGACGGACAACCAGAAACAGTAAGCAAAAAAACGAGCTCTGCTGCATTGTAGAATAGCATTTAACTACTCACTGATTCAGCGCAAGTTGATGTATAGGTTCTCGAAAAACCACTTCTCTTTCTTTTTTTTCCTTATAAGCTCTTCTCACCATCACTATCCTTGCGAATAGTGAGTTCGAATATGTTACTACTTTTTTATAACATTAATTGAAATAATATTTTTCATTGTCGGCATAAGTAAAGAAAAGCAAACAGACTAACAAAAAGTGCATCTGAACAAACAGACAAAAGAGGAGAGTATTAATGGAAAACGTTGCTCACCAGTTTCAGCAGATTTTTCGTTTGTTATAATTGATTTTTGACGCGAAAAATGGAGACAATTAAATCAAAAAAGTTCTTTATTTTTCTTCGATCTTTAGTCAAGAATTTACAGGAGCTTCAGCAAAGCAAAACATTGTTTAAATGAAACAATCAGGAATAATTACATACTTTATAGTCGCTGAATAGCCAAAAAATCTTTTTACCTCTCTCAAGAGATAACAACGTTTTATCACTGACTAAAAGTAAACTGCTAATGAACTCCTATCTACGTTCAGTAATTGAGCAGCAGTGCCGCTGCCATCAGTAAATGCTAAATATCAATCACTAAGACAGAAAACGACAAAATAAACTGGTCAGCATCAATGTTGAAAGCTAGTAGCTGCAAGTGACATAAAACTGCTTTGAAAGACAACTTTTTACGGCAGCACTATGTTTGAACAATCCACTAAATAACGCAAATTGTGCCTGATAATATACGATTGCAACATACACGATTTAAAAACTTTAAATATTCTTTTCTGTAAAATTGGAATGAA